TATATATATATATATATATATATATATATATATATATAATGCAAAATCAGTTATTGCATGTAAAAACATTCCTCATGTAAACACAATATTATGGAAGCCCGTTTCCACCAATGAAAATAAATAAAACGTCCAATGGTTATAATTATAACTTTCAAAGTCATAATTATTAGACACAAAGTCATAAATTTGACTTTTGAAATTCAAAATTATGACTGCAAGTCAAAATAGTGACTGTATTTCATAATTATGACTTTGAAAATCATTATTATAACATACCATTGGACGTTTTATTTATTTTCAATGGTGGAGACGGGCTTCCATACAATCTTAATTTACTCAATCACTTTTTAAACATGTGCATCATATCCAACAAATATTTTTACTTTCTGCGTCTTTTCAATGAAGAATGGTAAACTGTACGTACTGCCTCCTAGTGGTGGAATAGCTACACTGCAGTAGACCTGTTGCTTTTTAACAATGGTGTGATTCCCTAAACGTCCTCACATAACAAATAACTCATCCACTGTCCAGAGAAGTCTGGGTAGATGAGGTCCTAATGGAAGAATTACAACAAAAAGCCCAGTCTTCTCCACAATGAAGCCTTCCTGTAGGTTTGGAGCTGCAGTTGTACAAATGGAGTTTGGGATTTGGTCAAAGTTATTGACGTCCTCAGAGCTGAAAAAGACCAGCAGACATTTAACGCCCATGCAGTACAATCGAGGGAGGCATCTGGTGGACTACAAATTTATTCTGCTGCAGAAACTGACCCCAAACTTACAGTAAATATCATTAAGAACTATTTCTAGCATTAAAAAACAACCGTTGAATGCTGAAGGGTATAGTTTGGCCCTCAACTCAGCATCATCAAATGTGTGTGGGATTACACGAACGGACAAACAGGTCAATTAGCGCTCAGAATATGAATTCAGGAATAGGTTTAGCTGTTATCACACCAAGTTCTAGTTTAATATCTGTAAAATTGACAGAGTTATAGCCATTTTGAGTCTGCTAAAGTGCCGTAGCTGTGGCAGCCATCCTGAAACTGATGGGACTCTGGACGTTAGAGTTGTAAATGTCCACCAAGTGATTCGTTTCCAAGAGTTTTACAAACATCTGTCCAGTGGTTCATTTAGATACAGTAACAATACTGTGACTCTCGGTGGGTCACCCTCCTCCATCTCAATCTGTCCTCTGTGTCCTCTCCAGTTAGTCTTCCTTTACTGTATGTTTTACCTGCCTACAGTAGTTCATACTGGAAACGTTTCCAACATTA